AGCTCTTTATTGTTGAACCTTTTCATTGTTCAAACTCTGGATGACTGACGGCTCTGACTGGTTTCTGTCTCCATATGACCTCATTTCCTTTTTTCAAATGTACATATCTTCTGTTTCTGTGTCCGTCTCCTCAGGGAGCATCAGGCTTTAATTTTCCTGCGCGGACCTGGTGAGGCGACCTCGAGCTGTTCACACTGGAGCTTTTTGGCTGACGTGGAGCAGAGAGGCCCGGCCGGTTTTATGAGGCGTGTGTGCCCGTATAGGCCTGTATATATGTGGCTAATCCTATAGGCTGCTCCTACAGAGATTTTATTGTCTCCGCCTTGGATACCAGCCCTTCCTTAGGAACGCTTGTTTTTAAGAGTCTGGGCTCAGAGAGAAAACACATGGCTGCTGCTGCTGCTGCTGCTGCTGCTGCTGCTGCAGGGGGACGTAGCTACATGAATGTGGATGAACACACTCTGACTGATGTTAGTTTGGGAGTAGCTCAACGTTCAGTAAAAGCTGCTGCTGAATTCATTCATTCATCTAATGAAGCCATTAATCCTGGAGGCTCAGTCTACAGATCGTCTTACTGTCTCTGTCATCAAACACATTTACACTAATCCATTCACTCCACTACTTTAATCACACCGCTGAGGTACCTGGATGTTTTCACTTACTGCAACTTTATACTTCTGTTCTCCAACGTCTGAGAGGAACATAGCACTACTTTTATTTCACTGTGTGAGTTATAAGTTTTTAGATCATTAAAATATACACGATTAACTATTAATGTCACAGAAAATCAGACACAAGTCACAGGAAATATTTTACTGAATAAAACTGAGAATACTTCATCACTTTTACTGCTGATACTTTGACTTCATGAAGCTGGACAGAACTTCTGTGCATTTACTTCAGTCAGCACATCTTTGACAGAAACCTGGAGCATGTTCACATCGTTGTGCGTGTACTTTTACTCATCTGTACAAGATCTGAAGCTGTGGGTAACTTGATGAAGGTGAAGTCTCTTCTTCCTCTCTTTAGCCCTTTTTAAACAGGAGTTGTGCAAATTTGCAGTAAAGTCCAATCAGTGTTTTTTCAGCATTGGCAGTATAAAAACAAAATCGGGGAGTGCAGCAAAATGCCGCCTACCTACTTTTGTTTATACAGAATGTGCCTTTTTCGGGGCAATGGGGGGCGTGAGCAAGTAACAAAACGTGTAGCTCAGCGTGTGACGTAAACAGTGACGTGGGAGGGAAGCCACGGCTGGTCAGTCCTTCGGAGATTCTCTCATAAGTCGGCCCATACTTCACCGTCCCCGTCATCTGACGATTAATGGCCTCTTCGTTTGCGAGGACAAGGAGGGCGCACAATTCATTGTCTCCCCAGTTGCTCATCTTTAAAGTGTCTGTCAGGTTTGAGTTTCCCTCTTGCTACTAGCTGCTCGCTAATTCCTGCTATCAGCTGTTTCCTGTTTATCCACCGCCAGTGGCTCGCACGTGTGGCGTCATCAACAGCTCCTCCCTCAAGTCATCAACAGCCCCTCCCACAAGTCATCAACAGCCCCTCCCGTTGCAGAAGGACGCCTTGGTCTCTTTAAACCAAAAGGGTTCCACCAATATGTCTACCCTACGAGGCGTAAAATTGGGCACCTAGGATCAACTCGCCAACCCGGCTCTGTGTGTCTAAACGCTCGCAGCTTGCCGGCAAAACGTCCCAACATTCACGGAAAATCAGGCAGTGTAAAAGGGGCTTTTGTTTCTTTGTGTCGATCTACCCTGACGATGGTCCAGTGGTGAAGGATGTCACCGGTTATCAAGAAATGTGGGTTTGAACCCCGCCTCACGTCGGTGACATCACTCAGGTGTGTGTGGTTTCATTTGTCTGCTGAACACAGCAAAAAATGTTCAAACATTGCGTTTGTATTGCGTTGCTATTAACTTGTGAGCTTCCAAATTTCAACTTGTGAATTTCCAGCGTGAACCAACAAGGAAGAAACAGAACAGATGAGTCCAGGTGAGTCAAGCTAACTAGCTTAGCGAGATGATGTAATGGATCCTTTAAAGTAAAACATTGCACCTTCATTTCAAAATGGATTCAAGTGTTTTTGAAGCGTAAAAAACTTTCAATAAACAAATCAAGATAACAGTTAACTTCAGTGGGATCTAAACGATTTAATGAAGTTATAAAGTCGAGGCTAATTAAAGGATGATGGATTTAAGAGGGTTTTAATTGTTTATCTGAACAGATTTATGTCTTTAATTTTGAGCTCATTCCCTCATGATGTTTTATTTATGTACAGCCTGAATGATACTGAGGTTTTTAGGAAACACTATAATGTGAACACCACCTTTTCTGAATATCTTTGACGTTTGAAGACGTTGACTCTTGTATAGACGACTATAAAGGGAGGCCAGATGTCCTCGTTTTCAAGGGACAGTTCCCATTTTCGGAGGCCTGTCCCCGGAAATGTCCTCGTTTCTAACTGCAGAGCTGCCAACTCTCTGTCAGCTGTGAGACACATGCAACTGAAACTGTTCACACACACACTCTCACACCACACATCAATGGGTGGATTATGAAATAAAAGGCCCTGGGCACAGATATGCAAAAGGCCCCACAACATGTCCTACAGAGGAGGAAGACTCACAGACACTCTGGTGGTTCTGACTCTTTTATTACTATTATGATTATTTTGCATCGCTTTAAAGTGATTATGCATCTTTTTGTGTTTTTGTGTACCTTATCAAAAGATTAGTCAACCTAACTGAGAAAAAACTGACTTCAGGTGCTGATTTAATGTAATTTTCAGTCAGAATCAGAGTCAGAAATACTCTGAAGAACAGAGAACTGTCAGAAGTAAGAATAATGCTGTGTCTCAAATCGCGTACTTCTGTACTTACACTTAATATTTTGAGTGCATAAGTGTGTTCACACTGAGAAGTATGGAAAATGCAGTGCACTATGAGTACCCAGATGGTGCACTCAAAACGGTCAAGAAGTTCGAGTAGAACTATGGACACTTCTCGCACTCAATGGTCGCCATCTTGGCTACGTAGCGGAAGGGGAAGGACCACTTTTCAAACTGGAAATCGCGGCCAAGGACTGTGCGATCATGAACGTGGCTGCATTGTACAAATACATGTGTTTTTGCACTAAGCAGCACTATACTGTTGTCAGGTATAAGCCAGCAGTGTGTTTATTGGGTAAATTTAGCAGTCTGTAATGATTTGGTACCGCAAACGATAACGCTAATGCTAGTTTGCTAACTAGCTAATTTGTGGTCGTCATTTCCGGTGAGTGCACAACGGCCGTGTTTGGTTTGAGACAACACTACCCTGTCGAAATTCGCGCACTACACCAATGAGTACATAGTGCCCATAGTATACTACATGGAAGTGTGCTAATGGAAGTATGTGATTTGAGACACAGCATGGATAGTGTTAGCCAAATTTACATAGCATCAACTAAAGTTACATAGCATTAGCCTATGTTACATACAGTTAGCCAAAGTAATATAGTATACTACATAGAAGTGTACTAACGGAAGAATGTGATTTGAGACACACCATAAGAGTATTAAAATATAAGTATGTAAATATAAAGTCATAAAATAGAAAAAAAATGTGCTTCATGCTGCAATGCTTAACATTAAGATATTTAAAATAACAATATCTATCTTCACGGTGCTGAGTGTGTAAAAATATATATATATGTGCTCAGAGATGGGCAAAAATACATCAAAATGTATTTTGATACAAAATACCCCTCAAAGAAATGTATCAAAATAAAATACATGTATTTTGTATTTTCAAATACAGAAAATACTTTTTTTCTTTCTCTTTTTAGCAGCGACCCGCAGCTCTACAGGTCACTCTGACCTGAAGCTTTTCGTGAATGAAAAGTCCACAAGTAACTATACCAGAAAGAACAGCCATGATTCATCCATTAATGGCGTGATAGTAGCAAATTTGGTCGCAGCTATTGCAAATGTGCGCTTGTTTTCTCACAATCTGGTGAAGCAGAGTATTCAGGTTTGGGCTGTAGGATAAACACAAAGCTCTGGTGAGCCCCACAAAAAGGCAGAAAATTCACAGGACTAACTAAGTGTAAGTAAGCAAAGCCATTAAAAGACAACAACTTGATTATGTATATATATATATATATATATATATATATATATATATTAACCAGACTTAACAGCCCATAAAAATGTGTGGCCTATTATTTTTGTTTTTTGATTCGTAGAGAAAGTATTTTGAGTATTTTAAATACAAAATTACTACACTCAAAAGTATTTTGTTACAAATAACATTTGCTTTTTATCGGCCTTATCAAATACAAATTACAAAATACTGAAATGTAATTGAAATACATATTTTAAATACAAGTAATAGAAATACTGCTCATCCCTGTATGTGCTACATTACACAGTCAGCTTTATCAATAGGGTAAAGACCAAAACAAGAACAAGAATATAACATAATAACATAAATGTTCAGTTATTAACGCTGTATGTTGAATAAATAAACACATTTAAGAGGTGTAAAGAATAATTATTGCCCATCAAAAAAGATGTAATAATTGTACCTTCAGTAACGAATCACTGAATCTTGTAAAAGTGTTTAAATGTGAAACATAAAGAGACAAATTTAGAGCATGTTGAAGCTAAGCTAACACGTTAGCTTGCGGTGCCTGTGCTTGCTTCAGATTAATGACAGTTATGTTATATTTAATAAAACACAGCGCAGTGTGTGTGAGGTCACCAGGTTTGTCTGCTGTGAGCCGAGAGGAGCCGCTCTGTGTAATTTGGGAGGTATTCTGGAGTAATGACACGGTGCTGAGGCTGTGCTGACATTTGGGGATGACTGATGTTATTTTCTCAAAGCCAAAATGGCGTGGCTGACTGCAAGGGCGCGCGCGTGCACGGCGCGCGCGGACCAACACATGTGGGCGGGAAAATGTCGCTGCGCCTCTACTCGGGTATTTCCGGCCGCCGAGCCGAGGGGGCCGAACACGCGCGGTGCGCCGAGGCGGCGGAGAGAGCTGAGCAGCCCGGAGGAGCAGCGCCGAGCAGCCGCCGGAACCAGCGAGACACCCGGGCGGGTTGATCTGTACCCAGTGTTCCGTCGGGGAGACAGGGCAGGGGGGAGGGCTGGGGCCGGGCACAGGAGAATGAGACAGCCCTCTGAGCGGAGGGGGCGACATCATGAACGGGGCCGTGTACATTTCGTTTTTCCAGGGCCAGCTGGAGTCCGTGCTGGAGCAAGTCGTTCAGCTCGCCGTCCAGGAAATAAGCAAGACGGTGGGCTCCAGTCTGAACACGCTGCTGCTGGAGACTGCCGTGAAGGAGCAGGAAAACCACCGGCTCCGGCTGCAGCTGCAGTCACGGGAGAACCGGGGCCGAGCCAGCGCCAACCCCGCGGACGGCGGCGGCGGCGGGTCCCCGGTGGCTGGTAAGAACAAGGCTGGCAAAGCAGCGGGCGACGAGAAGGCGGACAGCGGCAGGACAAAGCCCGAGCAGCCGTCGCCGCAGCAGCAGCAGCAGCAGCTCCACGCCCCCGGAGGGCAGGGCACCGAGCCCGGCGTCCCCACCGACACACGCCGCCTGGAGCAGCGGGGACGAGTCGTGGGTAGGCACCCGTTATACAACACACACATTCACACATAGACACGCAAACAAGCAGTTGTGCGGGCACTCCTCCCTCTGTCTCAGCCTCTAACAGCACGCCAACGTTGCGTAACTCTGCAGGCCGATTGAAGGGGTTGTGAGTAAAGTGAGCTGCAGAGAGAGTGAGGCCTGCAGGTGATGAGCTCCATCTGACAAAGGAGGCTCAGTGTGGAGACACCAGGCTGCAGGAGGCCTCACATGGGTCAGGGCAACTTTTTAATTGGGCTTTAATTGGAGCAGAATGGAGGTGCAGCAGGATATAATGGTTATAATGGGAGCCCGGGGCTGAGTGGTGAGCAGCCAGGCCTCCTCGTCCATAAATAACACGTGTGGGTGTCATGTCAGATCACATGTATTTACTTTCGAGTTTCTGACTCAACAGGATCGTGAGCGGCTGATCGAGAAACACAGGTTGTAAAACAAAGACACTGCAAAGTTCTGAATCAAAGGAAGCGAGGCTTCTCTTGGCAGAAGCGTCTCCAGATCATAAAATGAGAGTTACAGCTTTCCTTGACATGTCCCCTTCAGGAATGGAGGGCGATGGTGGTTGGTGGTTGCTGGGTGGGAGGGGGACCAGGACAAAGAAGCAACAGACTGCAGGAGACGGCCTTGTGGTCGACACGACTGTACACCCACATCGAGGCGGACTGCGGCGAGCTTTAATCAGCGTTTCATTGGGGGAGAAAAGAGCCGAGGCGCGAAAAAAGGGGGCCAACAAAGATGTAGCGCAGGCGGGGAATATTCAGATTTTCAGGAAGGTGTCTTTGAGTGTTTTTACGGGTGTCAGGTCAGATTTATCACCAGGAGGAGCACTGGAATGCATCGACAGCTCTACTAGACGAACCTGGAGGGTTTTAGTCGTCGTTCCATAAAATTTGTAGGAAGTCGGATCAGATTTGGACTGAAGCGAATCGACGGGGTGCAGAGGTCAAGGCTGGTCAGGGTCTGGTATCAGTCAATACTAATACGGATTGATAACTGAGTTTCTGCACAACAGTGACAGCAGTAAACACGAGAAGTTTGTCCAATCATCCTAAAATATACTAAATTATTAATGAAACCAGGAACAAACAGAAACAAATCTGATCAATAACACGCTTTAATCGTGTGATCTTCAGCCTGATATACGGTTTGGTATCAATACTAATCAATTTTTACTTCCATACAATGAAATATAATGTCCATCAAACATTTACAAACCCAAAATATTAAATTTACTCTAATGTTAGACCAAGATTAGCGGAAAATCGCATTTTTGCTTGAAAAAATAACTTTACAAAAATCAATTGATTTTCAAAATAGTTGCCGATTAACGTTCTGTGGAAAAATAATTGATTATCTGACTAATCGTTGCAGCTCGACTATGGGTGTATTTTGACTGTTACAGAAACAAAATATTGAAGTGTAATTTTCAGCCTGATATTCAGTTTGGTATCAATAGAAATCAGATTTTCTTCCATAGAGAGAAATATAAAAGTGTTTTTAGAAAAAACATTTTCTTTGAGTTACACTGATTTTTCTTAAATTATGAACAGTCAATTTTCAGTCATAAAATTACAGCTTTTTCAGTACTTTTGATATTTGGTACTATGGACAGGAGCTGCAACTAATGTTGGTTTGTTATCGATTAATCTGTAGATTATTCTCTTGTTTAATCAATTAATCTTTTGTTCCACAAAACATTAGAAAACAGTTTTGTTTTGATTAACAGACATTTCCAAACCAAAATAATATTAAATTAACTCTAATATTGGACCAAAGAACGCAGCAGATGATCACATTTGAGAACCTGAAAGTATTAACTTTTTTTTGTGCATTTTTGCATGAAAAAAGGACTTTAAATGTCTAATTGTTGCAGCTCTACTGTGAACACATTTTAGTTGTTACAGGAAAAGTATTTACATTTGATTTTCCGCTTGATATTCAGTTTGGTATCAATAGAAATCAATTTTTTCTTCCATAGAGGGAAATATAAAAGTGTTGGTCTATAAATCATTCCTTTTGAATTGCAGTGATTTTTTTTATCTCTAATTCTGAAAACAGTCAATATTCAGTCATGTGACAACTTTTTCGATACGATTTGATATCGCTGCTATGGACATATTTTAGCTATAGTTATAAATTCTTAATCTGATACAGAGAAATTTGAAAGTGTTTTTCTACAAGAAAAGTTTCCTGATTTGCAGTAACTTTGTCTCATTTATGAACACAGTAAGTATTCAGTCATGTAACGACAACCCTGTTTTTGGTACTTTTGATATTTTGGTCCTACGGACTAGAGCAGCAACCAAATAATTACGTTGGTTATTGATTAATCTGTGTATTTTTGTCATTAAATTAATTGTTCCTCAAAACTTTAGAAAACAGTCTTTTTTTGCCCAATCATATTTCCAAACCCAACGTATTCAATTCATTAAATTGGAGTAAAGAAAGCAGAAAATCCTTCAATTTGAGAACCAGGAAATATGGTTTTGGTGTTTTTGCTTATTTTTCTCTGGATCGAATGATCAATTAATTGACTAATAGTTGCAGCTCAATGATGGACACATGATTAGTTACAAAAAATCACTTTCTTTGATTTACAGTGTCTTTGTCTTAATTATGAACACAGTCAATATTCAGTCATGTGACAACAACGGTCCTATGGACAGGAGCTGCAACTAACCATTATGTATTTTAGCGATTAATCTGCAGATTATTCTATTGTTCTATCATTAATTGTTTGTTATACAATATATTAAAAATGGTTATGTTTTGACTAACCAACATTTCCAAACCCAGAAATAATAAATTAACTGTAATGTTAGATCAAAGAACACATTATATTGTCACGTTCGAGAACCTGGAAATATTTACACTTTTTCTTTTGGCATTTTTGCTTGAAAAGGTACTGCCAGATATTCAGTTTGGATTCAATAGAAATCAACTTTTACCTACATAGAGAAAAATATAAAAGTGTTTTTACAATAAACATTTTCTTTGAATTGCAGTGATTTTTCTCTGATTATGAAAACAGTCAATATTCAGTCATGCGACGGCAACTTTTTAAGTACCATTTGATATTTAGTGTTATGGATTAGAGCTGCAATAACGATTATGTTTGTTATCGATTAATCTGTAGATTACTTGCTCATTTAATTGATTGTTTCTCAAAACAGCCTTGTTTTGCCCAATCATATTTCCAAACCCAACGTATTAAATTCATTAAGTTAGAGCAAAGAAAGCTGTGAATCGTCACATTATAGAATCTGGAAATATGTTTTTTTTGTTGTGATTTTTGCTTTAAAAAAAACAAGATTTTAACAGTTCTTTTTCTATGGATCAAATAATCGGTCAATTCAACGACTCTTTCAGCTCTACGATGAACATACGTTGGTTGTTACAGAAAAGGTATTAAGCTTTGATCCTCAATTTTACCTGATACTTATGTTTTGGAATCACTGTCCTCCATACAGAGAAATATAAAAATGATTTTATAAAAAACATTTTCTTTAAATTGGCAGTAACTGTCTAAATTCTGAACACAGTCAATATTTAATTATGTGATCACAACTTTTTGTGCTCTTTGATATTTGGTCCTATGGACCAGAGCTGCAGCTAACGATTATATGTTATTGATTAATGTGTTTATTTTTGTTCTTATAATTGATAGTTCCTCAAAACATTGGAAAACTTTTGTATAGTCCAACCAACATTTCCAAACCCACATATTTTGTCATTTGACGCCAGATTTTGAGATACTTTCTAATTTCTGATACTCTGTGTGGACGCCTCAGTGTCCATACTGAACGCCCAAATTCAAACTATAATTAGTT